TCCGGCTCTGTGTGACCCTTGTATTTCTCATCTGCCTGTGGAACCACTTTTCCCAGTCCCTGCACAATCCAGCCTATCATTCCAGCCCTGATGGAAGAGGAGATACAGTAAAGTCCATCAGCTGCTCTGGGCATAGGCAAGGATGTGAATGCATGCAAATAAGCTGCTTTGCTATAAGTCAACTCTAGATGGCAGCAGGAGACAGTAAAAATAAACAGGTTTGCCTTGTGGGTGCCAGTGAAGCAGTAGCCGATGCTAATAAAAAAATTAAAAAAATTCCCATTTCAGTACTGTTCTTGTAGATGAATATATATGTATATATGTATATATGCTCTAGGGAAGCCAGTCTGGATATTACAATGCTTAGGTTTATGTCTGTTCAGCATGAGGGTCTTTTGCCTTGAGCTCTTAATATGGAAATGCAGCTCAGTGCAATAAAGTCTTTTGCGTGTGTAGCATGTAAAGACTCTCCATGCCGGTCTGCAGCAAAGCTCTGCATGTTTGTGCATGACCTAATATCTGCTATAAGCTACTCACTGGTCCGGTGTGTTACTGCTATCCATGATACAGTGATGGAAAAATGTGTGATACTCATCAAAACATTTATTTAACAGGCACACACAAAGATACAGATGTTAACAGGTATTCTCACATAACTACAAGAAGATGCGGCAAACAGCATTCACATACAAAATTAAATTGAATCTGTATGATTGAAACTATACCTGCTGCTCACTGCATTTCCCTCATGCTGTTCAATCCAAGGTAAACAAAAAGAAAAAATGTTCAAGAGTAAAACACATACTCATATGCTCTATACATGTACTTCTGTCAGGACCACTATCGTCAAAGATGATTGACAATTAGCATACAGTTTGGATTGGCGGTATGGTTCTGTTCTGGGCAAGAACTCCCTGCGCATCCATGCAGCCTAGCATGGATGAGAGCAGGGAGAGCAGCGATAACCCCCCAGGGTAAACAGAACAGACCCAACATAAATGTATTGCAGATATTGTTAAAGTTCAATCCTTTTATGTAGACATTTTAGAATTAGTCTGGTTCAAAGGAGAATCAGAAGGCTGAATCCCGACTGACAGAGGAGGAGCTGGGGATGGAGGAGGGTAATTAGCTATTGAGCAATGCGAAAACTGCTGATACTACTGAGGGACCTTATATATGAATGCTTAGATAGGTGTCGTATTCCCATAGGTTGATGTGGATCAGCTGAGAGTCAGCTGATGCGAGCTTGACTAACGTGACCTGCCAGAACTAACGCTTCGCTTGATATTACCAGGCTTTCGTAAATCAGAAAGCATGGTTAAATTGCTTGAAATTAGTTCACAAATAAATTGGTTCTATTTTTAAAATGTACTAAATTCAAGTTCAAAGTTGCAAAAAGAAGGAGAGAAAAAGATAATTTAAGTATTTAAAAAAGGTACTGATTAAATAAAGAAATTAAAGAGAATTTCTCATCAACGTAACTTTAAAATAGTTTTACAATTACATAAAGGAAGCTGTTTTTCTCTCTCTCTTTTTTATGTATGTTGTAAAGCTTCAGGACACAACACACCAGATGTTAAACTGAAACATCTGCCTTGAAACTTGCCACCTGAATGTTAAACATAGTTATTTTTGACACTTTGACTGTGTTCACACTTGAGTTAAATTCATCTTCAGCAAAGTCTAAAAATAGTTTGTATTACTTTTTATCTCAAAGTTATGATTACTGAAGAAGGTGTCTGCACATAATGACAAATTATCAAATTTGAGTTTTTAAAACCAAACTTTTTAACATTATTTAACATTTGTCATTAAAATGGACAAAAACAGTAAAAATCAGTACAAAAGTAAACAGTAAAAAGTCACAATGACCCATAAAATATATACTTTGCACACTGGTGATCTACATTTTTTTATTTTTGCCTTGCAAATATAACTGAATAAAGGTCTTTGCGCACCATTGAGTCTGAAATTTTCGTATGCATTTTTTCATTTTTTTTCTTCTTCTCGTATTTGTCATCCTTTCCTATCAAAATGCTTGTTACGGATGTGAAAATGCAGAAAATCGAACCTGTTCCGAATTTTCTTATTACGGACGAAAGTTTCGGAGGCAGTGTGTAAACATGATTGACACAACGTGAGGTCGTACTTATTTTTTAACATGCGAAAAATTCGGACGAGAATTTCAGACTCAGTGTGCAATGACCTTCTGTTTCAAATTTCCATAGTAATTAAATACAGCACAAAATGTAAAAAAAAAAAGTTTAGTAATAAAGTACAATTACTCAAGATCCGGAAAGCTATAGTTTAGATATAACTGAAAGTAAATTCCATACTTCAAGAAGGACAATGCCAGCTACTATCATTTCATGTTGCTTGCAAAATAATTATCTTCTGAAGGGCTTTTGAATGTGTTTGAATGTGCTTTTGAATGTGAGTTTGCTGATATGTCTTTGAGGAGTTTTAGACAGAAGGTGTGTAATTAAAGTTAACACAAATAAGCTGAAATTGCTTGCAGCACCTGCCATAGTTTGAAAGCAATTGACATGACATATGTAATATAAATCTAACTGTTTCTCACTCTTGGTCACATGGGTTTTGCTCCAGTGGGATCATGGCTGTTTGTGTGGGCTCAAGTCACTGTTAATCACTGATAAATGCATCTGACCCTAATCTCTCCTGGCTTGAACACCTGCGGAAACAGAGCAGGCCAGCTGTACTTGTCTGCCCACGCTGCTCCACTTTACACCTGAGCAGAGAAAGATGGACGTTGTTTTGCAGTGGTCTTACTGGTGGGCTCTGTTAACTCAATTTGCTCACTCTAAACTCTCCATTCCAGGTCAGACACTGCGCTGTACATCATCAGTCATGCGATCTGCTTTGAATGCATTCAAACCAAGACTATACACTCCCACAACTGCAGATTTTAAATCGTGATTCACTTAAAACCCCTCCAACCCTGTTTGGTCCAGTGATCAGATTCTGTTTTAGCAGCAGACCATGTGCAGTACAACCAATAGAAACACAACTTCACAAATAACACCGAGCCAAACTGAGAAGAACAGTTGCACGATTATGAGTGAAATGCAGGATGCAGAAGGGTCTCGGAGCAGATGGGTGAAAACACTGAGCCATAGAGGAGATTCATGGACTGGTGATTTACTGCTAGTCAAACCAGCTGACAGGAGATTCATACGGTTTGACATTTGAGGATGGGTGAGGAAATGAGCTGTGACCCACTTCAACTCAAGTATTCTCGAAAAACTGAGGTTTTACACCAATTCTGATCAATATTATGATATTTAAATATTAAATCTGATATGCAGAATTGTATTTGATCATATTTTCAATTAATAGAACATGCTTTACAATAAGGTTCCATTTGTTAACAAACTAACAATTAAAATACTTCTAAAGCTTTCATTAATTTTAGTTAATGTACATTTAAACATTTACTAATATTTTATTAAAATCAAAAAATTGTTTGTGTTAATATTATTTAATGTGTCTGAGCCAACATGAACTTACAATGAACTAACATAAACAATAGTTAAAATATACTGTAAAAAATATAGAAAATACTGTATTGCTCATTGTTAGTTAACAGTAGTTGGTGCATTAACTAATGTTAACCAATGGGACTTTTTGGAAAGCGTTACCAAAATAATTGGTCTTTCTTTACCGTAACTTTTTCAAAAATTGGCCTGGTTGTTATGACCCACACAAACACACTAAAAAAAGATTGGTGTAGAACCAATTTTCACTTTTAAATTGTTAGTAAATTTCCCAAATAATTACAAAGAAATGGCAAGTAATACATTGAATTCAACATGAAATGTGAAGTAAAAATATTGAAATAATATGTTCTTGTAAAACATAATCTAATAATCTTTTATTAATAAAATGTAAAATCAACCATTAAACACTATACAAAACCTCATACTAAAAAAACCTTAATTACATAATAAAAATGTGTGCCAATTAAATGGTCTTGCTTGTTAAATATTGGCAGACGCAGTTTTTACCTGTAGTGTTCAGCAGAAGACGGTCATCCCAGAGACTGAAGGATGGCCAGGTGGGAAGTGGAGGGATTATCCATGAGAAAGCACAGCTAACGGGATTAGGCTTTCTCTGGGACGGATGCAGAGCGAGGACCTGGACTTGGACTTCATTAGCTTCACACAATCCTTCTTGGAGCTCAGCCCGTATAGGACCAGAGGGGTCCAGAACAGAGACTGGGATAGAGAAACCCCTTAATGTAGTGCAAATATAAACTGTGCAGTATAGATTGTCCTGGGCTGGTTTGGTTGCCTCATTGAAGATATACCTCAATGCATTATTTTTATTAACATTTTCAAACCTCTACAATGTGAGTAAATCACTTGCATATATGATTTTGCACCAGGCTAAACAGAATAATATCAGTCTTTAGCCAATATTAACTTGTTATATTTTACTTGCCAGTGATAAATTAATAGTAGTAGTATTTTATTAGTATTGTTAAAAATATTAAATAACCAATAATGTCTCATGCACCATAATTCAGATTTTAGTTTCTAATTAGTATAAATCGTCATGCCTTTAAATTATACACTGTGAACAATGACCGTGAATTTAACGGTAAAAGACTGTAAAAATGCTACAGTAAAAACCTGTTAAATGGTTAATGGTAAATTCCCCTACTATATACGGTGAAAAACTGTATTGGACATTACATGTATTGGACATTCATTTTACGGTAGTATACTGTTTTTGGAAGTGAAAAAGAGCGTATAATTTACAATGAATAACCGTAAATTGACATTCCCAGAATTCCCTGCGTTACATTTCATATTTGATGTTTTTTT